TTATAATTCAAAATTTTTCAATAAAAATTGAAAAATATGTACATTTAATTTTATATAAAAAATAAAAACAAATAATACATAAATTAATTATTATATGATCTATGCTTTTATATAAATAATTATAACTTTATAAGAGCTTACAATTATATTTTTGATATAAAAATTTTATATAATAATTAATTATTTTTATTTAAATGACAACTTATGCTTTATTATTCTATATTAAATATTTTGCATACTTCTTATATGCACACTGCATACCTTACTAAGGTTACTTATATAAAATCTTACTTAGTTACAAATAAGGAAATCCGTCTTAACATGGTTGGATTTAAAATATTATCAATCAGATAACTGACCCGACTTACCTGTGACGTAATTAAATAGATCCAGTTCCTTGTTCGGGTTCATCTATAAAAGATGAGAGATTCCAAAAAAGTTTATTTCGAAAGCATCACCATGGAGAAAATTATGTCTGGTTTCATTCTGATTCTTTGTCTTATCAGTTTTGTAAAATGTCAATCATATTTTTCCAGCAGTTGTCCTTCTCCTGCTCCAATAAAAGATTTTAATATCACTGCAGTAAGTATTCAAAATTTATTTTTAATACAATAAAATACTTAAACCATTTTATAAAAATTGACTTAATAAATTTTATAATATAATTTTTAAATTTATTAATTATTATAAAATAAATTTTTCTCTCTCTTCAAATTATTATTTTACAGTTTGTTATTTCTTTAACTCAGTTACTACCTAAGTAATAAAATATCAATATGTAGAAATATATTTTATTAACCAGTAACTCCTGCTCAATCTTTACTGACATTATTCAGACGAAAATATTAGTGATGATCAGTGAGACAAGGCCCCTAAGGAGGTCAGGTTCATGGCTATGCCTTGGTATACTCATGTGTTAATGTGATCCTAAATCTCCTAATTATACAAGTATAAAAGTAATATATTGTTAATATCGGTAAAATGTTAATATAGTATACATAGTAAATGAATATATAAATACATAAATATTTGTTACTACTTATACTATTTTTATTTATTCATTAAGTACTACTTTCTGTTATAAATATATACTTTATACTAATATTAATACTGTTACTCACGTAGTAAATTGAACTAAAATAGTAACAATCAAAAAGTTTATACTTTTTAGTTTAATTATTTGTTAATCATATATATACTCCATCTATATTCGAAACATTCTGGAACTTTAATGAATGGCTAACCACCAAGTTGTTTTCCCTGTCTTGTTATCATGACTTTATTGCAGAAAAATGATTCATTTTATCTCTTTTAACTTGTTATATTATATATATTATATTTGTATGTTTATAAATAATATTAATATCGTATCAATAATAATAATTAAAATACATTATTCTCATTGCTTTATACACGTATATTTGTAATAAACAAAATAAATAAAAATTTATAATTGTTTTAACATTTGAAATGTTTTCTTTAATTTACAATAAAATAAAAAAACTAATAGTTTAAAATAGTATGATTCAGATAAATTTGATTATCATTTAACATCAGGAAATTTGATTTTAACGTTTAAATGTTGATTTACTGTTATTCTTGTATGATTTTCAAGTTAAAGTAAATATATTATTTTTATCTCCTCATTTCATCAGATATCTGATGAGGGAGAGAGATGATGATAATGATCTGACTCAAGTTCAATGTCTGATCAGATCCTTCATTAGACCTTGAACTCGAAACTTCCGCAAAGTTTCAATGTCAGGTCAGGTCAATGACTGGCTCAACATTGACACATCCTGATGAATGGTCCTGAAAGTAATGAGCGGTTATCTTTCCATTACCACACCCATTTTTATGAATTTCAAATATTTGTTAATTATACATATAATTATTTTACGTTTCTATATTAATTTATGACTAGTTTATTTATGGTTAACGAAGTTTTAATTTTGTAAATTATTGTATTTTTAGTTTACAGGAAAATGGTACGAAGTAGAAAGTACTCGATCTATATTCGAAACATTCTGGAATTGCCCAACTACTACAATATCAATTACTGGAGAAGGAACGGAAATCGAAAGAGGAGGATATGTTTCACTGTAAGCTAACATATAATTAAACTTATTTAATATACAAAAAATTATTTTCAAGTATTTTTATTCATTTTTAATATAAAATAGATTTCAGGTGAGATTTAGTTTAGAAGAGAAAAATACTAATGTTATTGAATGTTATTTATTTATTTTTAAGAACTCAACTTCATAGTTTAATTTTTACTTTCCTAGCTGTTATATATACAACAGAAGGGAAAGTATGGCAATCGGTCAAAAAATGGCCCCTACAAGATTTTTACATTTTTGGACTCGATCTTGAAATGTTGAGAAATGGGAAAATAATTGGTTTTTTAATTCTGAACATATGGATGTTAGTGTGTATGGGAGCACGATTTTGTTCTCCCTCTTTGAAGCTTAATAACTCCTGTAGTGTACTTTTCGTCAAAAATTTCTGAAATTTTGCAGGAATGTTTATATATTAGGATTGATGCTATAAAATTTTAGTGCTTAAAAATCAAGGAAAAACATCAAAAGTCTTTATTTTTGTGGTAAAGTCCCGCAGTATCAGAATTTGTTTAAAAAGTGCAGGTTAACTATATTAGGCCACGGTCATCTTCTTTACAAGGAAGAGTTAGTCTTTCTACGGATGATTTTGGATGATATTGTTTATGCTTAGAAGGTGTTGTTCTTGTTTTCCTTTGGAGTTGCTCGAGATCTGTGCGTGTTCAGTGTATAACTCCAAAAGAATAAATGAGTACAAGGATAATCTTCGTATTAATTGCTTTAATAGTATGTTTTGCATTTAGGTGTGTTCTTAGTACTGCATGTAATCTGTTCTGGTATTCGAGTGTTAATATTTGTTTTATCTATGCATGTGCTGTAAATTTAGCCTGTTGGAATCCTAAATATTTGTAAAACTCGCCCTCTTCCATAGATTCGATAATATCTCCACTTTTGATTACAAAGTCTCTTTTCTTCAGAACTCCTTTTTTTAATGTGGAGTGTTTTGCATTTGTCTAGATAAAACTCCATTTGAGTATGTGTGTGTAGTTTGTAAGAGATGATGAAGTTGATTCTGTGTGAATGTGTAAAGTTTGATATTGTCCATGTACATGAAGTGTGATAATGTAAACAGTGTTGTTTTGTTGCGTCTGATATTGTAACCTATATTGCATTTTGTTCAATGTGTTAAAGGATTAAAGGATGTCTGTCTATCTCTTTAATTTTCTCTTTTAGTTTGTAATATCTCTTTTAGTTTTATATGTTGAGCCGTTTCCTTCCATGTCTGTCTCTAATGCAGCTTCCCATTCCTAAACTTCTATTCTGTTAAACCATTTTTTGCTTGGACGACTTCTTTTTATATTTTTTTGTATTCTTTCTTGAATAGTCATTTTACTAATACCGTATATCTCGAGGAGCCTCATATTAAGAGATAAATTTGATAAATATTCATTTTATCTTCTTCTATAGAAGTTAAGGCTTTATGTAGAAACTACAGAAAATATTTTTATTTGAAAAATTATTGTAGTCACATAATTTTATAATTTTTTAAATTAAAATTTTTCCAATTAAAATTTAAAATAAATGAAATAATAACTTTTGAATTTTATATAAAACTTATATATTTGAAGAATTGGGAACAATACACATTATATATAAAGACATAATTATTGGCGTAGCCAGGGAGGGCCCCAATCCTTCGTAATGAAAAGTTAATAAAAATTCTAATAAAAAAAATAATTTAAATGTAAATTTAAATGATTTTTTAATGTAAATTTACCTACTGACTTAGTAAATATATGTTTGTTATAACCTATTATATACTAGTAGCCCGGGACGCCCCCTAGTGGGCGTTGTTTACAAATTTCCATGAAGCACGGTTCCTTTGTCTTTTTTGTTCCTATCAATATGCTGTACAGCTCTGTTAAAGCACAGCCTACAATAAGAACAGCCTAGTCAAATGGGGGAAATCCCATTGTAGTGTTGTGTCCAAACGAAAATATTTTCTCTCGCAAGATGGAGCCACACAACGGACCATAACAACACACACTGATTAAGTTATCCTAGCTACATGCTATCATATATTCGTAAAACAAAACAGTAATTCAAACTTAGGATATNTAATAATTCATATTGTTAATTTAAATAAGAATTAAAATTGGTAATTTGAATGTTTGAAATATGACACACGATAGGGGCGCCTCTAGTGTCGGTTGTCAAACGGTTACGGGACGGACGGACGGAAGGAAGGAAGAACGGACACCTGTTGAATGGGTTATATATATATAGATTTTGATGTTTTTCCTTGATTTTTAAGCACTAAAATTTTATAGCATCAATCCTAATATATGAACATCCCTGCAAAATTTCAGAATTTTTGACGAAAGGAGTTATTAAACGCGAAAATTTATTAAAATGTGTATTGATTCATATTAAATTTAAACTTGGCTTCCCCTTTATGTTAGATTTGGTTACGCTATTAGACACATTTATACATTTAAGATCTATTTATTAATTTCAATTACCGTTAATAGAAAATTTAAATACAGTAGTATTATCAGCTTATAGCTTCTAATTTTACGATTTGTCGTATAATCACTAGAGGCTGTGCGATAAACAATCTAAAAAATAAATAAATATGAAGAATAACTTGTAAATTTCAAATGACTAAAACAACACCTTTTCGCTTACTTTTTAATGCCGATTTTAAATATGTAAGAAAGATAATTGTAAACAATCCATATGGCCTTTGCTGAGTTTGCGACTACAGCATTAGTTGTAACTATTGCCTTCAAATAGTTTATAGTTATTGGAATATTCTTAAATTATCATTGCAGTTTTCACATTGTTTAACAAGCAATTTTCATAAACTTATAATACACATACAGTATATTTAAAACTGTTTTGGTCAAAGAACGTCACCTCCGCGATTGACAAGCATTTCTTACTTCAAATAAACGATACAGAATTTATACAGAGCCCATAAAGAAATGTCGACTCCGCTAGTGTTGTGTTCCGGTTATTTGGAATGGACGTTCAGTAGACTAAACAATTTTTTTAGTATTCAATATTGTACAGATTTTAAATTATATTTTATCCTGAATTTTAATCTTTACAAATACAGAAAATAAAGTAATAAGAATTTATTTTCTTTTTTATTAAATTTTTGATGTACATTAATCTATGAATCTATATAAAATTCTAAAGGACACATAACATAGAATACTTTAATTCGTGAAAGTTTCAAACAATAATACATGTACTACGAAATGGTTTGTTTCTGTCATCTTTTATCATTTAACTTCAATATGAGACAAACCATTCATATTAAAAATGTAAGTATAATAGATTACTTGTAATACACATTTTTCCCCTTATAACTATGGTACGTGTATTAGCTATATAATAAATTATATAGCTATTATAGGCCTATATGATTAAATTCACAAGGTATAAAAAAAGGCTTAAACTGATATATCATATAAATCTTTTATATTTATAATATTTAATTCGAAATGTCGTGACTATCCGTTTTATCCAAGGTAACATCGGTTCACATTACCTAGGATAATCGGGGTTCTACTGTCTGTATTTCAAGATATGCTTAAAAGGCTGCTTTTTTTATTATATATTACTTTTCCAAGATTTTCTTTGTGTTATTGATCCAGGTGATTATTTTAACATTATTCTTAAGATCAACGTGCAGGCCTACTTTTTTATTTCAAAACACCTTTCTGCTCTTCTTTGTTGATTTGACAATCGTAATTTTTCGTAAATTCTGGCAAGTTGAAATTTGTTTTTCTAAAAAGCAGAGCAAGTCTATAATATTTAGATTCACATAACCGCACTCCTTTATTTCCCGAAATATTACATATTTAAATTAGATGATGTTTTTTTTTTTTTTAAACATCATCTAATTTAATGTATATAGTGGTATCTCAGGATACGAAATTAACTCATTCCGAAACTGAGATCGTATCATGAAAATGTCGTAAGGTGAATCATTTTTCCCCAAACGATTACATGCAAAACCAAATAATTCGTTCCAATACGAAAAACACACTCAAATTAAAGCTAAGTAGTACATTAAAAAAATAATAACTATAGTAAGGAAAACACTGAAAAATGCGTTTCGTACTTGTAAATGTATAAATAACCATAATAGAATAATAATTGATTTTTAAAAAATGTAGTTTTATTTGCACTTTACATTTGAGGATAGACGACGGTGGAGGTGTAAACTGATGGCGGAAGAGAGGGAAAAGGGAAATGATACTAAAACTTAACTTATATAACATAATGTAACAATAACATAAAAATAACGTAGATTTTAAAAAAAATTAGTGTTGTTTTATATATTTTTTAAAATTTTTATTCACTGCTTTTTGCTTTCTTTCCTTCACTTCCACCAGCACTTTCACTGGATAGAGGTCGCTTGGTAAAATATCTATCCAAAGAGGTTTGGCTTTGCCTACTTTAATGTTTCTAAAATGACTTTGGCAAATGTCATTACTCCGAGCAGCAATACGGCCAGTGTGAACATTTTCGGGATGTTTCTTTTTAATAAAATCAGTCACTTTCTGATAATACCTCAAGATTTCCTTTATCGAGCGAGATTCTTTTCCGACGAAGCAAACACGCGGACTGAGACCAATGAACAGAAGTGAATAAAAAATGGACTGCGAACTAATGTAACGTCGTGTAGTGAGTTTTTGTTCGTATCGTGGAGCAAAAATATGTTCGAATTTCATGTCGTATCCTGAAAATTTTGTATGCTGGGGCGTTCGAATCCTGAGATACCACTGTAATTTAATGTATAAAGACACATTATGTATGTATTGTCTAATAGAGAAATTTATATTCTTTATTGTAGATGATGTTTTATTTGTAGTAATATAGATAACGTTTTTAATTTTTTTTCGGTTTTTATAGTACTTGTTGTAATAGAGAAAGTAATCAAATCTTTTAAGGATCGCTACTGTATAGGGGAGATCGGGGCAAGATCGGCATGTTAAGCTTTACTTAAATTTTGTGTAATAAATACTGCTGTAAACTGAAAAAAAAGCTTTGCATATTGTCTATTGGAATGTTACCTTACTATAGAATTGGTTAAAATCAGTTTGGAAATAAAAATAATTAAAATAATTACAACTTTACAAGAAGAGAGAAATTGACGAAGTTGCCCCGGGTATTGGGGCAAGATCGGCAACTTCTCTCTTTTTGTAAAGTTGTAATTATTTTAATTATTTTTATTAAAGTTGCCCCTGGTATAGGGGCAACAGTAATGGGGCAAGATAGGCACGTATATAAAATTATGTTATTAACAATGTATAAGTTGGAATTCACTATTAAAACAAAGAAATACAAATCCAACACCCATTTAATATTATTACAACGAAATGCAAGTTCAAAGACATATATACGTGAATAACAAATGCAAACATGTTTTCATTTATCATCTGTTTGATTTTTATCCTTTGCTTCTAATGTGGCTTTATGTTGCCGATCTTACCCCGCTAGTCATGATTTCGAAACATTAAGTACAACCCTGAGAACAGAATGCCAAGCCACGATCTGGCCACGTGAATAAGTTGAAGTTACATCCTTCTAACAGGAAAAGTAACTTTCGTTATCATGCAATTATAACAAAACCTGCCAATTCAATATAAATGGAAAAAATATATTATATGGAATTCAACGAAAATGAAAATTTGCATGATAATTCAACTACGCTTGTTGGAGAACAATAAAAACACTACACTCAACAAGCCACCAATAAAACTCAACTGCCTAACCTATAACCAAAGTCTCCTTTTAATTTGTTTTTTAAAAAAAGCGCTTGACAAACTTGCCCCGCATGCCGAAGTTGCCCCGATCTCCCCTAAACCTGGTTAGCAAATAAATAAATTATACTATATAATGGTATAAAAAATTAGTAAGTTTAATATAATCAAGAGTATCTGACACCTCTAAGGCAAAGATAATTGGGTGCCCCTATATAATGTCTCTATATAAATTATCATACTTACACAGGGGCGGATCTACATAGGGACTAATAGGGCTTAAGCCCTGAACCCCTAAATGTCAAGGGCCCACAAAAATTGAATTATTGTCATAAATTTTTAATACGTTTCATTAACAATGAGTACTTATCGATATAAAGTTTGTCATTCAACACAATTTCATAAACATATTTCAACTCTGATTTTGATGTTATTAAAAACGAATTTTAAAACTTCAATTTAAAGATTTTTAATCTAACAATGGGGCTCCATTGGTCTTCATTAAGCTCTAGACCCCGAAAAACCTAGATTCGCTCCTGTTTTTACACAAACATGGACACACACCAATACATGTGGATATTTTAAAAAACAATACCATTATGAACATTTTGAAAAATTTCTATCAATTAACACTTATGTACAGTACGTTTCTATACATATATGATCATTCCTAATATCTGTATAGGAAGAAGAGTATTAATTTTAAATACAAAAATTATGAAACATTAATTTTTCGGCTTTTACTTCGGCGACGTTTGGAATTAATTCATATACAATTAAAATTAAACAGTATTTTTCTAGAATTAAAAAATCGAAAATATTTAACGATCTATTTTTTCCTTGTATTATTTTCTTTTGTAAGCTGGAGACCCCGTATCTGGCGCTCCTAGGCGATCGCCTAGGTTCGCCTAATGGTAAAATCGGCCTTTTATATACATACATATATATACATACATATATAATAGATAACTAATATGTCTACAATAAATAATTTGTGTTCATTGTTTGCAGGCTTAACAGAAACTTTTACAATAGAATCGTTCGTACTAAACTAAATGCTCCCGATGCTAGAAGACCTGGAAGATTGGAATTTAATTTTCCTGGAAGTAAGTTTATTTTAATGTAGGCTATAAAAATTTATGTTTTCACAAAAAATAATTTAAAAACATTACATGAATTCTGTATACTCAATCAGGGTCAGAAGCCAAGTCATCTATTTTTTCGCAATCCCAATGCATTACTACCCAAGAAATTCGATGAAATTAATAATTTGTAACAAATATTTTTGAAACTTTTTATGTATAGAGCTCGGTCTAAATCTGCTTGTTGATTCCATCTATAGTTGCTCTCGTAATCGATTTATAGCCACAAAACATTTTCTCAAAATTAATATTATATTTGAGTTCACGTCATGAATTCACTTAAGAGTTCATGTCGTAAAGTTTATGTCATCAGAAAATCATTATCATAAACTTCATGATAATAATTTACTGATTCAGGAACATTAGCAAGATAATTATATCAAATATAATAGTGGTTCTCAAAATGTGGTCCAGCTAGTCATTTGTATAAAATGCAATTCAATGTTATTTATCAGAGAAAAGAATATTTTAATGTACTGTGAAATCTCTTACATTTGATTTCTGAATAGACAAAAAAATTTGGTATCCATGTGAAGTGACTTTTACAGGTAAGAAGTGGACACGAAATATACTGTAGGAGGTCCGCACTTCGTCTGTGACTCAGTTTCAGTGTTCCGCGGACCATACTACTGAGAACCGCTAAAAAAATAAAATACAATATAAAATAAAACGAAAATTGCATTTATTGGTCGCACACTCTAAACTTCGGTATTTTCATTTAATAGCTGTGAAATTTAACATTTTATAGATGTGAGATTTTATTATTTATTTAGAATTTTACTTTAATAGGACTCCACATCTTGTTTAAGTAAAATAAAGTCGTAATATCTTCAGATAAAAAGCATATCAGCCATATTATGCTTTGAGTTTCGAAAAAGATAAAACGTTGTATAAACAATAAAAATAAATAAATAATAATAATTGTAATGTGAATGGGAAAGATGCTTCTAAACTTCGAACATGTCAAATGTAGTTTAAAAAATTCTGAAAATTTTACACATTGTGTTTATGCTTCGAGCGCATTTTTTCATTTCACGCGCAGTTCGAACTCCGAAGCAAACTTTTGTCGAATTTTGCGTTCGAACTCTGAAGCGTTCGAAGTTAGAGTCGTTTTAAGTACGAAGTACTACTGTAGATTTAAAATGTATAAATATTATATGTATTATTTTTTTAATTTATTTTTATTTAGTATAATTATTCTGTAGATGTTTTCGAATCAGTAAAATACTATCGTAAGCTCTTAATGTTACATAAGATTACTGAATAACAAAATACACCTCAGAACATCTTTCCGGCAAGATTTTATTGATCGTACAATACAATATTTTATGATCGATGTTTACGTAAGAAAAATTTATATTTACGTCCCAAAAATGCAATATAGTAGAGCATCGATTATCTGACCCCCGATTAACCGTCACATCGGTTAACCGACCGCGTTCTAGTCGGCAAATTCAAATGTCCGCTAGTGATGTGGCGCTACAATATTTGGCTATGTCTTGGCTACTTTAATATTATTTTCGTTAAATTTTTGCGAGTTCTAGATGGCAACATCGACTCGACCATTGAAGGGAAGCCAGTATTTAAAGGAGACTTAATTTTCTAATTATGAGTGGTTGTTTGTCTTGTGAGCAATAAAATAATTTAAAAATAATTTTTAACGATACAATAGCGACGATTATTATTTTTAAAAAAATTGTTAGGCTTAACATCGATGAAAATTCAACGCGAAGTAGGTTAATAGCGATATACTAATATACTAATTACATGGGATATAATAATATACTACATTAATAATGGATTTTTTCATACTTTTCGGTTATCCGACTTTTAATTATCCGACCAACTCCAGTCCCCAATTGAGTCGGATAATCGATGCTCTACTGTATAACATTTTAAACAAAACAATATGTGGGAAAAGTCTACAGTTAGATTTCAAATGCTATCAACGAAACGTTAGAATTAAGTAGGCGTATAGATATTTTGAAGTATTCTTTGAACTTCCAGTGTTCAAAGAATAGAACTGCTTAGCCACTGATGGGTCCCAGAGTCTATTTATAATAAATAAGTTTTAAATAAGACAGCAATTCAGTTTCTTCAATGGTTAACTGACTTTTGATCATATAGGATTGTTTTATTAATAATTTTGTAATGATAATATTAATTTTAATTAATGTAACAGAAGGCATGTGAAAAATAAATAATTTAATAACATTTTAATTAAAATTTATACGTTAAAATTATCAAAAATATCAGCATTTATAAAATTGTTTATTTATTTATTTATTTTAAAAACTAATTTGAATAATAATAAACTATTTTCATTAATTTTATTTTTCTTAATAAATCTTCTTGCAGTTACCCAACCTTTAAAATACGTAATACTAGATACAGATTATGACAATTATGCTTTGGCATGGAGTTGTTACGAATTTGGTCGACTTGGCGGCACACTTGGCCATTTCGGTAATGAGAATATTCGTTAAATTCTTCATTATTTATAATTTTTTTTGTCTAATATTTACTTATTTTACAGAATATATATGGGTGTTGTCAAGACATGTACATACTGATAAGGAAGTAAAACAGAAATTGTATACGGCGTTGGATGATAATGGAATTCGTCGATTTTATATAACCAAAAACAGAATGGATGAGTGTCATAGTAAACCATAATTTGGAAGGATATTTTTATTTTTTAAAACAACAGCTTTTACAAAGAATTCTAATTAACTTAATTCCTCTGTATACGCCTATATTTATTTATTTATTTGTAGTAATTTTAATATAGTTTAGATTTTCTGTCCAATAAAGTTGATTTTTCATGTATAATTTAATTATTTAAATACTGAGTTTTTTATAAGAAAAATGTTTATAATAATATAAAAATGTTGACTAGGTATACGCACTATATTATTTGTTATTAAGGGAAAATCTGGGTTCTCATCCGCTCTGAAACCAGAAGCGCCCACACATTGCGGCATTTAGGACACATGCCATCCCTTTCCATCTGGGATACCCTTTTCCTAATCACCAAAGGATCCCAAATTTCATTATTAACATTATTGACAAACAATAGAAAGTTCACGATTTTTACCTATTCTGCAAATATAAAAGAAACTAATGAACGATATTTATCTATTGTTCCATGCAACTTCATCGTATGTTGATCAACACTTGGTCTTGAAAATCAGGAATGTTCTTTGTTTTTAAGGCCAAGTTAGCTCCAAGTTGCAACGAAAGCCATCTGTGGGAGCGTTGCTTCGACCTTAAATCATAGTTTGCTGCGACTTGCATAATGTATGATGCCCCTTTTTCTATAGTCATGAGGGTGCCCCACAGACAATAGAAAAGACGTTTCGACTTGAATAATGTATGATGGCCACCTTGGCCATCATACATTATGCAAGCCGAAACGTCTGAAACGCAGCATTTACGACAGATTCAAATTGGCTCAGGTAATCGCGAGTAGTTCAGCCTTCTATCTTTCACACATTTTCGCCAAAACTATTACGAATTTGGTAGTGGAAGCTAGTATACTAGTTGATGCGACAAAAGAGGTATTTGATATTGACCAGTATCGTCACCCTGGAGATTTGGCAGTCCGCGCGTATGCACGCACTGCAACTGTCTCTGACTCCATCCATTAGCAACTCGTAGGAAGCTATTTGACTAAGTGAATTGTTTTAAAATTTAAAAAGTAAAGAATATTGTTATTTTTATGTACGTTTCTTTACAGAGCTATATTTAATTATAATTTTCTTTAAAAGTATATTCATACAATTGGAGAATATTTTGTGCCGGGTATGTACTGTACCGTACATCCACCACACATTTTATTTTACCAAGTAAGTTTTTATTGTTTAATTTTTAATTGTAGCCCTTATATCGTGGCTAGCGATTCGGAATGTAATTGTGATATTAAAAATACATTTAGAGAAGTCTGCTATTTTTACTGGCTTATCGAACAAACGATACGAATAGACCCTAGACCACGCATGGCCAACATACGGCCCGCAAGCCAGATCCGACCCGTCTAATGAATTTATTTGGCCCGCGATCAATCTATCAAAAGTAGATATTGAAGTCCGAATAACTCGATGAAAAATTCTGACGCCTATAAAAAAAAAGGTCAACAACTCACTGAGCGTTTAGGGTTAACCCTCCATTACAAATCTCGTAAGTACAGCGTAGAGTGTTGATAAAGCATGATAATGTAAAAAATGTATGTGTAATCCAGTGTTTTTCAACGGGGGTGCCACGGCGCCACGATTGGGGTGTCGCAAAGTTTAGAGCCTTTAGGCATTTTCTTGGAAATTTACTTAAGTGTAGTTCAAGATAACTCATTGTCAGTTCTATTTTGCTACGAGATATCTAGTAAGCAAAGAAACTATGACTAATCGCATGTTAATGTAATGTTCTACGCTACGTGTAGGCACGACTTGTCACGAGTTCGCCCAAACCACATTGCTTGGCCTTCATGTTCCCTGTCCCAGTACCAGGTCAACCACCAAAGAAGAGCGACGTGGACACTTGTGCAGGGCCGGCCATCGGGGGGGTGCGGCGGATGCTGTGCACCGGAGCCCCGCGATTGAGGGGGCCCCCAACATTGTCAAGAATGCACAAGAAAACTCGACAATATTCCTATCGTTGTCAGTATGACGAAAAGTACATTTTATTGTAAACATTATTATTGTAATCTCTGAATTTCGACAATCTTCAAACTAATTCTCGGTGATGCGAATGTTTAGTTTTTGTTATTTGATTCGGGGAACTCCCGAGGATCCCCACGTAAATTGGACGTTTTTTTTAAAAAAAAATCTCAATACCATATAGCCCGCGTTAAGAAATGAAAATAATACTGTGGCTGTCGGCCATATAAAATTATGTGTATACAGGTATTTGCATATAGTCGTAGTTTAAAGTATATACGACTCTGTTCTAATGTATCATATAAACAGAATTGTGCATCATTTAGCACATAGATCACAAGAACAAATTATTTCTGCGTTAGGAGATGAAGTCCTTAACAAAATTAAAGACGATATAAAAGCAGCCACGTACTATAGTATCCAAATGGATTCTACTCCCGATATTTCCCATAAGGAACAAACTTCAATTATTATTAGGTACGTAAATTTTGAAGAGAAAAGATTAATTATAAATGAGTCATTTATAAAGTTTATTGACGCAACTGATGTGACTGAAGAAGGACTATTAAAAACTCTATTGAAAACATTAAGTGAGCTTGATTTAGATATTATGAATTGTAGAGGGCAGAGATATGACAACGGTAGCAACACGAAAGGGAAATATAAAGGTGTACTGTACAATCTAGAATAATTGCTCTAAACCCTCGCGCAATATATGTGCCTTGCCTATCACACTCTTTTAGTTTATTAATTTGTGATGCTGCTTCCAGCAGTATATATTGTAAAAATTTTTGGGGGATATTGCAACGTTTATATTGCTTATTTTCTGCATCTACAGAGAGATGGGAAATTCTACAAAAGCATTTAAACATTACTCTTAAACCATTGTGACACTCGTTGGGAAGCCAAAATAGATTCGGTTAAAGCAGTGTATAGCCTACACAGTTTGAACAAACTTGTAATGCCCTAGAAGAATTTATTTATGTAAGTAACGATAATACAGCGGTATCCGAAGCTAAAAGTCTATTGGATTCAATACAAGAAATGCCATTTATTTTATGCTTAATAGTATGGTTTGCAATGTGTAAAATCAACGCTATCAATATTATTTCAAGCAAAAACAATTATTCTTGAGTCGGCTTTTAATTTAGTCAATAAAATTAAAACTAAAATCCAAAATTTAACACATTTTTAGACGAAGCAAAAGTGCTAGCACGTAATTTGAATATTTCAGAACATTCTCCTGAAAAACGAATACGAAAAAGGAAAAGGTTATACAGAAGATGAAGCTATAGAAAACGCGGTAGAGGAATTTTAGATGTTATTTTTTAACACTAATTGATACTGTTATTGTACAAATAGAAGATAGATTTAAAAGTATACCAAATATTATTTCTGATTTCAAATTAATCACTGATATGAAAACCTTAGAAAAACATGAATTAGAAAAATGTTCCAAAAACTTTGTAAAGTTTCATAACAAAGATGTAGATGAAAACCTAATCCAGGAAATTGGTTTGCTACGGGATTTGATTTTGAATGAAAGGGATGTAAATAACGCACAAGACATATGCAATACATACTAAATAATAATTATAATGAGTTATTTCTAAATGTATTAACTGTGTTAAAACTTTTCTTTGCGTTGCCAGTTACTATAGCAAGTGCTGAGCGCTCTTTCAGCAAATTAAAATTAATAAAGAATTATTTCGATCCAGCATGTGTGCAGAACGCTTAATGCAATTGCTATATTAAGCATTGAAAAAGAAATTGCAAAAATTATAATTTTCCTGAAGTAATTCATGTATTAGCAAGAACAAAATCACGCTTTAAATAAACATGCATTAATATATGTTTGTGTTTGTAATTTTTTTTATTTTACAAAAAATGTAGGACCCAAATAGTTTCTTGCACCCGGGCCCCTTTATA